TGCAGCCCCCTGCCGGCCGGGGGCACCAGGCTGCTCGCGCGACGCGGGGAGGGAGGGGACCAGAGCTGCGAGGGGCTGAGGGCTGGCGGGAGGAGCTCTGGGCGGCAGGGGCAGGGCCCTGGGGAGGGCGGGCCGCCGGGGCAGCGGGAGGCTGGGCTAGCTTCTGGAGCGGCAGCCCCCGGGGAAGGCCGAGGGCCGCGCGCGGGACATGGCGAAGCGGAGCCCGGGGAGGCACCGTGCAGCAGCACCGCTGCCAAGGAAGCGGGGAGCCAGCCGCCTTTGCACCCGCTCCGCGGTGGGAAGCGCCCTTCGGCTTTGATTGGCGGCAGCGGGAGGCGGCCCCCGGGCTGGGGGAGGCGGACCTAGCCAAGCCCCGGAGCGGCGAGATGGGTTAGGAGCAAGCCCGCCTGGCGACTGCAGGGCGCTCGCCGCGCGGGGAGCCCCGGCGGGCAGCTGGTGAAACGCGTTGGACTCAAGGAGGACCAAGATCAGGGGCATCTTTTTTTAGGGCAGCGCTACTCGGGGGTGGGGGAAACAGGTGCTTTAAAAAACTACAATGCAATTAGCCAGCGAGCCGCTGTTTTCCTCTACAACCTTGGACAGCTCCGCTCGCTCTCTTTACATTACACAGGCAACGCTTTCTAGGCAAGGGGAAACACGGGAGTCATGGTACTGCATTCATTTAACTCAGTGGGCTTCATCAAGAGTTTCAGAGACTACGACTAAAGATCAGCATTGATTCGGGGAACCCAAAACACCCCAACAGTCTAATAATAAATAACACTTTCCATTAAAAAAAAATAATTCATCCTGGCAACAATCCCTTAACATGGATAAATAGGTATTAGCCCCATTTTATAGATAAGGAAACTCAGGCAAAGAGAATTTTTTTTCAAAATTGTGGCCTCGTTTTCATGGGTACAACTTGAGTTTACAAAATTGGCACTCACACTTGCATTGTATGCAAAATCAGGATTCTTGCACTACTGACTAGGGCTACAAATCACACAGTTACAGGTGCATGTAGTTCACTTTGTGTTTACAATATAATAGAGGGTTTAGACAGCACCCACAAAAGAGTGATTGGTTTATGTTGCAGAAGTCTTGTAAGTCTATCATTCTTTTCTGATTCCTACCCCAAAGGCATATGCCCTAGCATAGCTTTAGGAGTTCTGATAACAGGTATCTGCTGCAGTTTTAAGCCCAGGTTGCTCACTGAGGCTCTATAAATGGTGGGAGCGTATATATTATAGGTGAAGCAGGTAGTGATGCTTTCAGTTAAAGTTGTCCAACACCTTCTCGGACCTTGTTTTCAGTTGCTCGTAAAAGTGTTAAGCTTTGGGGTTAAAAGAAAAGAACAATACACCAGTCTCCTGTCTGTTTAGAATTTCATCCTCAGTGTCTGCCTCACACTGAAATTTTTGGAAAATTTCAGCAAAAACAGGCCAGCTGTTTCTCAGAATGATGTTGGGGAAAAAATAGTTTTGCTGTATTAGAAAAATTCTTATAGTTTGTTGAGAAGGCCTGCTGCCTCCATCCTTTGGAGCGGGGACTTGACATGCGGTTGTGATGTGGGAGAGCAGGGATGTGTGTGCCCTGGTGTCAGGGATGGCTCTTTTGCCGTGCCCAGGAAAATCCTCCCAAATTTGGCCAAGTTATGACCCTGTGAAAATTTCAATTCACACATGCTCAGACTTAATACTCAGAGGATTCAATCTGTGCTCAGTTTACTCCATCCTACGGCTGCAGGGGCCAATTAGGAGTTATCCTGGAATTGCTCCTCCTAAGAGCCAAGCACTGCTATAGCACTGGGCACAAGAATTGAAAGCAGAGAAATTCTTTCTCCTGTGCTCCCAATGCTAATCTGCTGAGCCCAGGCTGCAAGGAAACAGCCTGACTGGAATTCAGAGCTGTGAGGAGCCTTTCCTGGGAGTAGGGTTGTGGGGAAGGCTGGGCCAAAAAGCTAGATAGGGTGTGGGCAGGGCTATCCCTACGGGAGTGCGGGGCCCGGGGCAGAAGCGATGGATTCGTCTCTTCCAGGACCCACTGTGCCGTCCAATCGCACTGGCCCCTGGGGCCACCCAAAGCAAGGGGCCTGGAGCAGTTGCCCCGATTTGCCCTACCCAATGGACAGCTCTGGGTGTGGGAAGGACAGGTTGGAGGGAGAGGGGCAAAAGAGTCTGTAACCACTAGAATACACTACCTTCAGAACTGATCTGGAACCCAGCTTTCCTGAGTCTCAACATTCCTCTGCTGTCAACAAACAATTGTGAAACTCGGCTGAAAAATGTTGCTCTCATTGCCCTCTAGTGACTGGTCCACACAGAGGATAATATCCTACTGCTGCTAGCATTACTCTTATCTCACCAGACCGTGGTCTGTACTGTGGAACTCAAGGTTCCAACCCTGCCACAGAATCATGTTACTATAATGGAATTTCTATTTGCTTTGTTAAAAACCCAGGAAGTTACATAAAACAAAACAAAAAAAAAAACACACCAACCTGAAACCCTACATTAAAAGAACATCAAGGATGCAAAGTCAAGCCCCCAAAAGTTAAAAAATACCAGAATTAAGGTTGCCTGTGTAATCTTCATTCAGACTCCTTGTGCTTCTGCGTTACAATAATCTTTAATTACATACATTCTCCACCCCTTCTTTCTGTTGTATCTATGTTAAGTTTGGTTGAGGGAAGTGGGGGATATCACTGGAGTTTTAACCTGAGGTAGGCACCTCTGAAGATTTTTTTCTTGACATCTCTCTCTTCTCCCATCTTCCCTTTGTCCCTACGTAGTACACAAATTGTCATACTGGGTCACACTGTAGTCCATCTAGTTAACAGTGGTCAGTACAGATATTTTGTAACTTTGCAGGAGGATACAAGAAACCTGACAGAGGGATGTGATGGATTACCTTCCCTCAAGTGAACTTTCTCCTATTCCCCTCAATTATCAGTTTTTGATCTACAGGATGAGGTTATACATCTAGCCTAATATGACTGTGGTCTGTTATTCCAAATTAATGTCAATTTTTTTCTTGAATTCTACTAGGTTCTTTAACTCATCTCTAGTACTAATCCATTCCCCATACTGGTTATGCATTACATAAGTGTATTTCCATTCCTTAATTTGAAAATTAGCTGCCTTTATTTCATGCGTCTTCTTTGTTCTTATATTATGGAAAAATGTAAGTAGGAGTACCCTTTGTTCTGTACATTTATCCACTCAAATTTTCCCCACCCAAACCAGTCCCTTTCTTCTTCCCCCCTGATTCTTGCCTCTATTACTAGAGCACTGCTTCACCACCACTGAATCAGGTATTTCAGGGTGTCCCACTGGAGATCTGCTCCCTACCCTGTGGAGGAGCATGTTGATTAGCAAAGAGCATATGCTGGGGGATAAACAAGAATGAGAGCAATGTGTGTCTAGAGAGCAGGAGTGAGTGAAGGATATAGGTAGGTAGCATCATATGACCTGGGGAAGTGATAGCAGCCCTGGTCATTTTTACACATCCTACAAAATCATGCAAGACCAGCCTTTGATTTCTGTAAATTAGTAAACTATCTGCTGCTGGTGGGTGTTCAGCGGATGCCTGCTACAGGGTAGATACACACTACACTCTCTCATGGAGAATCTACCTCTGGACTTAGTGTTGCTTTCTGTGTATGACAAACCCCTCCCCACAACTCTTACCTATGCAGGCTCTTTCCCCAAAATTCACTGCTAGATACTGTACACCTTTTGAATCTACACTGGACCAACAATTTACCTGAATTCATTTTAGTTTCATTTCAAACTTCTCCACTACAGTCATTAATTAAAAACATACAATTCATGTTAGCAGTACTAGGAGACTCCTTACATTGCACATGCTGATCATATATAACACTTTGCCATTTTTACATGGTCATGGGCACTAGCACAAATATCTACCAAACAAATCAACATTTAGGCTGCCATTATAAATATTCATTTTTGTCTCTTTACTGTGTATTTTTTTTTCTGGTGGTTACTAGAAAACAATTTTAAAAGCTCCTGCACCAATGTATTTTAACAAATCCTGACAAAAAGATTACTTCTGAAGATTGTTTTAACTGCTTACCTATTTAATGTTTCTAAGATTTAATATTCCTAATATTTACATTAGAAAAATCAATGACTTACTTTCAGTTAAAAATTAATGGAAGCCGATTGCAGTGATTTGACAGAAACCCTAAATTGGAGATTAACACTTGTTTGACTCCTTTTTCTACTCTTTTGTGAAGAGCAATAAGCCAAGTCCTGCCCTCAGTTATATCTACACAACCCCACTGATTATCTCCTGTTTGTTAAAAAAGAGAGACAATTATAATGTTAGGGGTATAAAGCAGCATAAATAGAAAGAGCGCACCCACTATATGTTGTCTCAAGTTATGTTTCAGAACCTTAAATATATCCCTGTTTACTGTGGACTATTCACTCAAGGGAAATGGTGGCAGATAGCAAGCATTAGACTGAGACTAGATAAAGCACTTGAGAGCATACTAGAGGGAATAATTCTGCACTTTCAGGAAAATGAACAAGATAGGTCTGGGGTCTGCAGGATTGCTAGAATTCTGTGAGAAATCATCTGTATAAGTTTTCATTTTCAGATATGAGAAAAAGTGGACTGATTTTCAGAAGTGCCAAATCTCACTAAAGTCATTGGTAGCTGAAAGTACCCACCATCTTTGAAAAGTCAAGCCAACATCCTTTAATGAAGTTCCATATGTAGTAATGGGTTATTCTGTCAAAGTGGATCTGCACTAACTCCATTGTCATTACCAAGATCACAATCTAGCCCACAGTTATTTATTACACTGCAAAGAGAGGGAATGTTTTACATAGGAGCTAAACTGAATTGCATTGTTACCTGCTGTGTATATTGTACTGTACAAGTACTCAAACTAAAACACTTGTTTCCTAATCTATAGTGACTGAAGCAAGTAATGTCACAGTTTTTTCATGGTTGGTATTGTTTTATTGTTCAATAATACTGATTAAAATATTTACACTCCTACTTTTAAATCCACAGTTTAGCACTCATACCTATGGCTTTAATTCTTTTTTAGCACAAGATCTTTATGTCAAGTGTCAGAGAAAATTTCATTTCAAAACAGGAACCTGATATATCACACACATTTTCTCTGTTTTTAAATGCATTCAATTTTAATTTGAAGTGGTAAGATGGTACAATCTTTCAGCCGCTTCATTTACCATGGATTCAGCTGATTTTTTTCCTATTGTAAGTGGCCCTTTCAACAATCGTCACAATGTGTAATTTGTTCTGTTCTACCCCCATCTAAATTTAAAGCAAGAGTTGGTAGCTGACAATTATAAGCAAAAATATAAAGCACTATAGCATTATCTACATTGCCTTTTACTGCACTAGCTTCTTAAACATTCTAGGAGCTTTGTGGAAGTTTAGTCAATTCTGAAAAGGCACAAGACTTTTTGCACTCCAAGAACTTTAGTGACAACACTTGTTACCATCAGTCTGGCATTTTCAAACTGGGCTGAAAGAAGGCTGTTCATATTAGGAAAAGGTATATTGAGAATTGCTGCTATTATAAGGAACTGCTGCTGGATGACAAACATCTGTGTGTTTTCTAAGTGGGTCCAACTGTCTTTAAATATCCATGCATACATTAGAATCCCCATATTCTAGCATTTTGCCATCTCTCTCACTCACTCACACACCCCCACCCATCCCTCTTCCTCTGCAAGTATATATCAAGGGCTTGTAAATGGGAGGGGGGGGGGAAGTCTCTCAGTGACAACAATTGCACACACATGGGGCAAATGACAGTCTATTCAACCAACTATTACACTTCTCATAAAGCTGCCGATCTCTGGGATAGTTTTTGCTCCATGGCATTACATGAAAGGGGAAAAGTTCTTTTTAAAGTACAATAGGATGATTTTAATTGTATATGAAATATCCTAAATTTGGTCCACCTTCTGGTTTCCTAAGGACAGTGATGCTGGAGAGCCGACCACAGTTGGTACAAAAATCAATGTAGAAATTAACAAAAATAATTTGGTATTTCATCCCTAAACTTGCACAGTACAGTCATTTGTCCTAATCATCCACTTGCTCATCTTGTGTGTCCACAATTTGTTGAGGTTTTAAATCTTCAGCTTGTCCATGATCTTCTTTAACTGTCTCCACATCACCTATTTCACCAGTTTCGCTCTCTTCTAACTCTCCCTGATTAATGTTTTCAGACTCCACTTGTTCTAGATCTGTTTCATCTATAAGTTCTGCCTGTACCTCTTCCATTTGTATCTGATTTACATGTTCAACATGTAGCTCCTCCATCTGTACATCAGCACCTTGTTCAGTCTGAATGTGTTCCACTTCTACGTAACTAATCTGTACCTGTTCTTGCAGATCGTCCATCTGTGTGCCTTTCACGTGATTATCTTGAATCAGATCCGGATGCACCTGTTCCACAGTTACTTGTGCTGGATCCACTTGTACCTGAATTACCGGTAGTACATGGACTTGCTCCACTTGTTCTATAATAGTCATTGATGTCACTGGTTCCGTTTCCACGGCTTCCACTGGAAGAACCTCCTCTGTCACTATTCGTTCTGAAATGTTATGAATGTCTTTGAGATGCCTTCTCAGTTCGCTGCCTTGCATAAACCACAAATCACATAAGGTACAATGGTTGGGTTTGTCACCTGTGTGTATTACCAAGTGATCTTTAAATTGATCCCAGCTGTTAAATACACTATTACATACCTGAAACAACAAGATGTAATATGTTAAATAATGCTAATAAAAATCTGATAAAGCAAAGTACACTGTATATTCTGGATTAAGTTTACAGATTGTTACCATGTAGTTTCTTGCTATTATGATTGAACAAGTTACATGGACATCAGCCAAAAAAATCCAAGTTGTTAAAAACAAAAAACTGGCAGAACTCGGGGTTAGGTCTAGTACCTGAATTTTTTTTAAGTGATTATATTTCAAGTTGACAGTGACTCTCTAATTCTGGCCTTGTGCATATACATAAAGATGCAGACAACCTTGGCATTTATGGATTGGTACTGTGTTTTTAATGTTCCTCCGTTTAACAAAAATGTACAATTCTTATATTGAATCCCACCTCCCCCTTCAAAGATCTTATGTTAGAGCTCTGGCTATCTGTTTTATAATACTGCATGAAGAAATGATATGTACAAATGTTATGTGCGAAAGTTACCAAACAGAAAGAGCATGTTGCACTTTTTCTAAACTGATATTACAGGCAGGGCTGGCAGCATTATTAAGTTTGTCCAACACTTTGCATCATAAGAGCCTGTTTTCAGTTGCTCATAACTTTGCCAAACTTTAACCATTTTCCATGCCTGGTAGCTGTCACTGGTTGACTTTTTTGGAAAATTTCAGCCAAAGTGGTTCAGCTGTTTCCAAGAATGCAGCTAGGGAAAAGTACGTTGTTTTGCCCAGGTTTAAAAATTCTAATTTGTGAAGTTCTATCACCCCCACACTTTGGAGCAGGGACCTGAAATTTGGCAGGGGGTGGCCTGTGTGTCAAGGATGTGCCTTTTGTTATCCTCATGAAAATCTGCCCAAATTTGGCTAAGTTGTAAGACTGTGAAAAAAAGTCACAGTTCACCAATGGTCAGTAAAGGCTTCATTTTAATGGCTAAAATCAAAGAAGCTTCTATCCTCACTGAGCACACGCAAGCCTCTCACAGCTGCTAAAACTGACCAGACTGCACATGTACCGTCGCCAGGGCATCTGAGCATGCTCTATCCTCTCAACTGGGACTGGCTGGGCAAGGAAACTAGGAGGAGAAATCCAAGAGGCAGAGACTGGGACTAGGTAGGGAAAGAGAATGAGACAGGAGCCAGAGGTGAGGAAGAGATGGAAAAGATGTCACGTTTGGGGAGGGGAACAGGCAGAAGAATCTGTGCGTATCAGAACATACTCCCCTCCAGAGCCTGGAAAGGAATTCAAGATTCTTGAGTCTCACCATTCCTCCGTTATCAGCAAATATCTGTGAAACACACTGGCAAAGTGTCCCATCCCTATCTCGTGCTGGTCTATATAAGAGGATGACAACCTACTACTTCTGGTATCAGTTATTCCATTTGTTCAAGAGGCAGAGGTCTGTGCAGTAGATCTAAAGGTTTCAACTCTACTGATGAATCATTGGAGTGTCAACTGATGCTATATAGTGGATTTTTTGTTTTTTCAGTTAGTTTACAAAACAGGAAAATATACACAAAAACTACGCTAAAAGAACATTGTAAAGTGTTGACCAATATATGCTGGCTAGCATACACATGTACGTCATCTTATGAATGTGTATTATATCTGCACTTATATAATTAACATTCATTAAGCACAAACAACATTAAGCACAGATTTTATAACAATTATATAGCCTAAATTATCCTATAACACTGCATTAGCTGAAGTAAGCTTTGGCTTCAGTAGATAGGCAAGTTGTCAGGAGGAGGACATACGATTATTTTACCAGAGCAACAAGCAGGCAGTTATTCTCACAGGCCACTACTGGAATGCCCCAGTGGAAGAGGACAAGACATGTGATTGTTCCAAACCTAGGAGGTGACATGCCCGTTGATACTTGGAATACCTATGTTCAGAACAAAGAACTAAGGGGTAGACCACATTATCAGAAAAAACATGGTTGAAAGCTGATTGGTTAAATCTCATTTCAGATGATGTACACCAGTGGTGGGCAACCTGTGGCCCATCAGGTTAAGCTGATTGCAGACCACGAGACATTTTGCTGACATTGACTGTCCACAGGCACGGCCCCCCGCAGCTCCCAGTGGCCACGGCTCGCCGGTCCCGGCCAATGGGAGCTGCGGGATGCGGCGGCCAGCACTTCCCTGCGGCCCACCACTTCCCGCAGCTCCCATTGGCCGGGAACGGTGAACCGTGGCCACTGGAAGCTGCAGGGGTTGTGCCTGTGGACGGTGAACGTCAGCAAAATGTCTCATGACCCGCAAGCAGCTTACCCTGATGGGCCACATGCGGCCTGCAGGTTGCTCACCACTGATGTACACAGTACCTTTTACTTGTAACCATGTAGGGTATAAAAAGATAGCTTTAGGGGTGTAACTCTGGAGCACACCTTCTATGTAAGATGAATATAACAATGCTGCACAAGATAGCTTCCTGGAGACTGGCATCATACTGAAACTTTTCCCTGTACTAGCCTCTTTTTGGCTATTAGCAATAAACCTGACTGATATTGGTTATCTGGTCTCTTGAATATATTTCATAACAAACTAAAGAGTGGTCAAGCAATTGACTATACAATTTATCAAAAAAGTCAAGTACTCAAAAGTTAGGAAACGCCAGAATTAAGGTCACACAAGCAACCTTAATTCAGCTCCTTTGTTCAAATGTATTATGACACGGTCTTTAATTACATCCCATACTATTTTTACAACAGGACCCCAACCTCATTTAGTGCAAAGGAGGGACTTGGTTTGGGGATGAATCAGGGTTGTATAGTGTAGGAGAATGTTGTGTGTAGGACCTCTTTAGCTTATTTGTTACAGAAGTTGGAAGGTGTATACTGAATGAGGCAGGGGTTGCAGTAAAAGAAAAGATGGTCTTATGGGTAAGGCAGTTTAATATTGCCTTTGTGAACTGGATCCTATCCCGGACTACACCAGCATTTTAAACCAGACTATTCACAAGTGCTCGCTGTGTTCCTCATTTTCTGGGTGCCCAGCTCGATATCCTGGAGATTGATTGCAGAAGTGCTGAGCACACAGAGCTGCAACTGAAGTCAGTGGGAGCTGTGCTTTGAACATGTAAAGTGCTGTATAACACTAAATACTCTGAAAAGCGAGATCCTGCTAGTCTCATATTGAGTACCCAAAATTAACAGATATGATATTTTTGGCCTTAATTTCTTTGCCTCAGCTCCCCATCTGTAAAACAGGGATAATACAATCCCCTCACCTCACAGGGGTGTTGTAAGATAGATTCATGTTTGGGAAGCACTGAGATACTTTAGTGAACACCACAGAAACCCCATGAAGAAATGTATTAATTCCATATTCAGAGCAGGGTTTGTTTGAATAGTGTGCAGTAAATAAGGCCTAGTATCACACACTGATAACGAGAAGACTAAATATTGAATTGTTGCTCACTTCGTGAGCAGCTATCATTTTATGCACTGAACGAGGCAGAGGTCCTGTGGAAACATTATGTGATCATGTAATTCAAGACCATCATAATGCATATGCATATGGGGCCAATTAAGATAGCATAGGCAACCTTAATGCTGGCATTTCCTAATTTTTGAGTGCTTTATCATGTTTTTTTCATATGTAATACAGATGGGTAGCTAAGACCCTTGAGCATATCTAACAACATTTTTACCTATGCTACATACATAGCATATGCGGTTATTGTAAGTTTATGTGACATAGGTAAGACTTAGTAAACAATGAATCAGTAAACTGTGCGTTTAAAGAGGACAGCAGCAAAACAGGAAGGACAGCAACAAAAGTTCAGTAATATCTCATGAGTTTAACAGGACTCTACGAGTACTTAGTGAGGCATGTGCTTAAGTGGAGAGGGCCTGGTTCTCTCTGCCTCTTCTTCAGTAAAAGGATAAAGTTTAGCCCTACTTCTCAGGAGAGTTGTGATGATTAATAAATGTTTATGAAGCTCCTTATTAGTACTTTTGTTTTAAAATGACACTATTATGGATCTAGACATTTCTTGTCTGAATATCATGACAGAACTCTGAACATGACACCTGTATCCATTTTACTTGCAGTACTTCTTTGAGATCCACTACCCCTCTCTCATTTCCTTCCCCACCTTCTGAGCTCAGTCAACTCACGAATCAGGTGACCATTTTCAGACTGGGGGGGGAGAGAACTCAATATCAATGCAAAAATATTAATAAATGTATTATAAAACTTATTTTTATTAGGTTGTTACAAAGTTGGTTTGCACATTTACTGAACATTAAGCTATAGCTACTAGAATGTTACAGCCAGGATGATTGGAAATACAACAAATGCATACATTTAGGTAGGCATATTACCAAATGTTAAACCTAATAAAAGAATTCCAGAAGGTTTCTGCTTTTCTCTCTCTCTCTCTCTCTCTCTCAAGGACAAGCAAACATCAAGCAGACAAACCTCAAAAACACTTTTAGGAAGAAACCTAATTGTAAAAAGGAATGTAAGGTGTGTTATAAGAGCCATAAATCTAGGTTGTAAAATGAGCCTATATCAGCAATCCTCACCTCTCTTTTCAAAGAAAAACCTGAGTTTAAACTCACACAAAGTATTCAAGAAACAGCCTTAATGAAACTGATTTCTTTTGTAAACACACTAAAGTCTCCACTCTTTAAACGTGGAGAACATGTATAGTAGGAAGTGTTTTATAGAAAATACTGAATACTTCCAACTCATCATTCCACTTAAAAGATAAAAGCCTTTGTTATTTCCTACGATGGCATAAGCATCTTTTTTTATTTAAACGAAAGTTTTCATACAATAACTGCCTGATATCATTGTCATATGAATAGTACTCCTGGGGGAAATTTGTGCCACTGCGCGTGCGCACATTTAATGAGCCCTGCAGATTTCTAATTTTTTGCACAGAAAAAAAGCGTATGCCAAAACGTTGCTGCAGTTCTGCCTTTTGCCCACCAGAGGGTGCCGTGGGGATAGAACAAAGTTGCAGCTCCCCGCCAGCGAGGGAAGAGAGAGGGCTGCCTTCGCAGCGCTTGTCAGGCCAGGTCAGGAGACAGGGACTGTGGGGGGGGGAGGTTCAGACAGGGGCTCATAAGGGCTAGTGGGAGAGGACAGACACGGGCAGGGGCTGGATGGGAGCGGAGGCACAGGGCCATGGAGGGAGGGAAATGCAGAGACAGATGGGGACAGGTGGTGGTGGGACAGAGCTACATAGGGACAGTGGAGTGGCTGGAGGAGGGCCCAGAGATGCATGGTGATGGGGGAGGAGTGCAGAGCTACATAGGGACAGGGGAGTGGCTGGGTGAGGGCACAGAGACACATGGGGACAGGGGCAGATGTGCCTGACTGAATGGGAGAGGTTAGAGGTCAGCCAGGGTCTGCATAGGGGAAGCTCCCTAACAATCTCTCCCCACCTCCCCCAAAAAACCTGTTCCATACTTTTCCCACCCATACCCAACAGCCCTGCAAGTTCACACCCAGGCTCCTTCCCAGCAATTTACTTCCCTACGTTACCCCTGACTCCCCCAAGCCTTTGCACTGCTTCTGAAGGGTGTAGGAACTATGGCTCTGTATTGTAGTTTAAATAAATTATTACTCAGAGTTCTGTATTAATATGGCTAGTAAGGAATCAATTTGTCAAAAAACATTTCCTGAATCTTTTTTGTTGTCTGTATTGTTGCAGACATACTTGCTGACAGATATTTTGAAATAAATGACCAAAAATAATTGAAACTGGCGTGATTATATTGTGTTATTTTGACAAATAAAATATGCAGAATTTTGCAGAATTTTAAAATATTGTGGAAAGAATTTTTAATTTTTTGGCTCAGAATTCCACCAGGAGTAGAATAGTAAGATGTTTTATATAGAAATAGAGCAAGGTTATTTGATGCTAAATTAATTGCTAATGTAAGAAATCATTTAAGTATAGAATTTTTATATTATTAGGGAATTAATTTATGGCAGTGCACAAGCAAGCCCTCATCTAACGCAGGAAAAAAAAATACTCATTCCAAAAATTATCATATAGGATCAACACTCAAGTTCTAGATATTATAAAAGTTATTTAATTTTAAAAGTCTATTTTGAGAACTAAAACCTTGTATACAAAGAACAGAAGTATTTGGACATTTTGAAAATAGAATTTCATTTCCGGGCTAATTCTTAAAAAAATTGAAATTTTTTTTGCGAAAATGGACTGAATGAAAAGAAAGACAAAACTAAATTTTAAAAAAGTTACCTGACTTTTTCCGCCACAAGAAGAACAAAGGCAATTAAAGAAACATTGCATATTCAGGAGCTGAATGTGTCACCTAAGCCATTAATGAATGCATCAAGCCAATCAAAGGGTGACAGCAACCAACCTTGAATCTAAAGAAGCCCAAAAGAGGAGTTTTCTACTATAATTTTGTAGAAATAGGAAGAAGAGCACTCCAAAGTGCTCCAAACACTCAGAAGTGAGCAGCCCCCCCAGTTACCCTACTCAAGCACAGAACCGTACTCCACAAGCAAGCTGCCACCCACAGATAAGAAAAACAGAGAAGATTCAAGACATACTTCTGGGGGAATTCTGCGCCACTGCGCATGTGCAGAATTTACGTCCCCAGCTGATTTCTTTGCTTCCCCACAGAAAAATGACTCTCTGTTGGGGAAGCAAAGGGAAGCCACAAGAGCAGTCATGCGACCCTCCCCAGCAGCATGTTCCGGGTGTCCAGGGCAGATGTCAGAGAGATAAATCACTGTGGGGTTGGGGCCAGGACTGGGGAAGACCCAGCTGCTGGCTCCTACCCTGCGCCAGGCTCAGCTACTATTCCCAGCAGGGCTGGAGAGGACAGGACTTCCTCTTCCCCTGCACAGCATCTGGGGCCGGGTCAGACCCACCCCTAGATTTCTCCCCCAGCAGCAGGAAGTTCTGCAAACTCCCCCGTCCACTTCCTGTGCCCATAGCTCCTCAGCTGCAGGATCCCCGTACAGGGAGCTGCTCTCCCTTCCACCCAGACCCCCTCATACCCAGACCCTCCTGCTGAGCCTCAATCCCCCGCACTTAGAAGCCCCGTGATGAACCCCACTCTCCTGCACCTGGACCCGGATCCCCACCCCACCAAGTCCCAACCAGCTGCACCTGGATCCCCACCCCATTGAGCCCCACTTCCCCTGGATCTGGACCCACCCCCCCTGAGCCCACCACACCCAGACTCCCTGCCGAGCTTCATCCCCCTCACAGCCAGACCCCCCCTCGCTGAGCCCAAACCAGCTTCACCAGGACTCCCCTGCAGAGTCCCATTACCATTGCATCCAGAACCCCTCAACAAGCCCCTGTGCATTCAGATTCTCCCCACATCACGGAGCTGTCTGCACCCAGATTGCTACACACACAACCCTCTCAACCCACACCTGGATCTCTCCACACTAAGCCCCTCCACATTTGGATCCTGCCTTGCTGAATCTGCCTGCCCACACCTGGTGCACCTGGCACAGAAGGGCAGGGCCCTGGGGTGTTTCTGGGGTAGGCCTGGTCCTTGCACTGTGTCAGGGTTGGGTGCAGCCTCACCACTGAGTAGGTGTCCCAGGGGGATGATGCAGGATGATCTCCCATCTCTGTGCAGCCAGTGGCCTGTGCTCCCCAATGCCATGCTGGAGCCTCCACATTTATTTGACAAATAAAATTTGCAGAATTTTAAAATATTGTGAGCAGAATTTTTAATCATTGGTGCAGAATGCCCCCAGGAGTAAAGATGAAACTAACCCAAGGAAAAGCTCCCCAAGAATTCAACGTGGATTGGTGAGAGGAAGTTAACTAAGACACTGTCAAAGGATTTAATTTAAAATTCTTGTGATGATTTTGTTGGAATACTGAAATGCTGTTGTAATTTAAAATACTAGCAGTTTCTCACATTAATCAAGTTTATACCATGTATTCCTGAATAGGAGACGAAACAGTGGGATTCAATTGGATTTAGGATCATTAATATTCATAATTGGCTTGTTTTCAAACAACTCCTTAAATGGCTTATTCTAAGTAACTGATTTAAATACTGTTTTTTATTTCCTAGGATGTACCGTATATATGTACTCGTTCATAAGCCAAATTTTTTTAGTAAAAAAAGGGAACCACTAGAGAAGGGGGTCGGCTTATGAATGGGTATAGAGAGGGAGAGGTGGGACACAGCCCCTCCCCCCAACAGAGGGAGCAAGGAGAGGCAGCACAGCCAGAAGGGAAGAGGCGGAGCCAGAGTCTCTCCGCTTCTGGTCACGCTGCTCTCCCCCCAGCCTCCGAAGCAGCTGCAGCTCTGGGGCTGGCAGGCTGCAGCGGTGCTGCTCGGCCCCGCCCCCAGAGCAGGCTGCGGCCATACCGCCGGAGCACGCTGCGGCCGTGCCACCCGGCCCAGCCCGCTGGAACATGCTGCGACCGCGCCACCCGGTCTGGCCCGCCAGAGCAGGCTGCGGCCGCACTACCCAGTTTGCCAGAGCAGCTCCAGCCAGGTCAGAGACATCCTCCCCTGGCCCTCCCCAGATAAGGTGGGAAGGGATGGGATGGGGAGAGTGTGGGGGTCCTGGGCTAGGGGTGGGGTCATGTGGGGGGTGGTCACAGGGATTACTCCCCTGACTCCCACTTCCCCCCCCCCCCAAAATTTCCCCACCAGTTGCTGTCCTGGCCCGTCAGGGTAAGCAGCTGGCGCGCCGGGACGCTCGAGGTAAACAAACCATCTCGGCCCACCAGTGGCTTATCCTGATGGCCCAGGAGCCAAAGTTTGCTGACCCCTGAATTATAGGGTCGTCTTATGAACGGGTTATAAAAATTTTCCATTTTTACTTATCTATCTTGGGGGGGTCGGCTTATAAACGAACCGGCTTATGATCGAGTATATACTTTTCCAACTATGAACGGGCTGATTATTTATTAATAAAAAAAATCTGCCAGCCCTGAAATAAAATTATTTTGCCTATCTAAGGATATGCTAGCGAATGGATTTAAAACAGTTCTGGGAAACAACATACTTGGGTCTTATCTTACCAAGAGACAAAGCACCCCCCCCAGAAGTGGTTCACTCTCAAGGACATAATCTCTGTTAAAAGGTCTCTAGAGAGAGACATACTGTAGACATTGTAATGGAAATAACCAGTTTATCAGTTGTGTTCGGTCATGTGAGTTATTTAAAGTTTTCTTTTCCTTTCTTTAATAATAAAAGAGCCATGGTTAATAACTGTGATGGCTTGTCTTGGTCTTAATAATGGTATCCACTAAGGTATGTAAAAACTCCTGTGACTAAACAGTGGGAGCCACACCCTCGTGTTGGCAGTCAGAGAAACAATTCCTACCATTTCTTACTTCTCTAAACTAAACAATTGTAGTAATTTTAAAAATAAAATTACTTGGCATCCAACAGTTTAAATTTCCCCTCCCGCCCACCAAGACTCTCTCCTCCTGTTGCTTCCATTACATACCTGACATTCATACAGCTTCTTTCTTCCCTTTTTAGCTCCAGCACCGGATTGACAGGCTGTCAAATGACATTTGAGTGTGCTATTTCTAGCAAAACGTTCATGGCAATTTGGACATTCAAATGGTTTTTCACCTGTTAAGACAGATAAGAATTTATAGAGGTATAGGAAAACAAATCAATTCTACTGGAGTTGGTTTTTTGTTCTTGTTTTGTGTATATAGATTTTAGTAACTTGGTAAATATAATTTAAAGATTTGGATATAATCTTTTAAAGGTATAAGTCCTTCGATCACTGGGATTGTTCTAATAGAAACAGCCACTTCACTGAATGCATTTTATACAGAAACCAAAAGGGCAAAGAAAACAATGGTTGAGTCGATTAATTTTTCCACAGCTGGGAGTTGTGATGAATTTGACAGAACTGCTGATTACATTTTAAATGGAATCTTTAGTTTCATGAAAAGCTAATTTTTGATAAGAGCTTGGTTACATTCAACTATTATCTTGATTTGCTGAGATGAAATACAAGCACTGACTGGAACTAATAACCATACAGAACTCTGCATTACTCATTCATGTCCAGTTTAACATATAGAAATATTCATCATGTACCAAGAACTGGGAAGACTATTTTTTGTTTTAGAGTTACATGAAGTCAGTATGGATCCTCCTAACAAATTGGTTGAAACCTTCCAGGAAAGAGATCTAGGTGCTGTCATGGGCAGTTCATTGAGTGGCATCTCTCAACATGCAGCGATAATCAGAAAATAAGACCATAAGATACACTAAGCAGGCAGCAGAGACCATTTGGGGGGAGGGGGAGGAAACAACAAGAGCAACAAATTCCACAATGGGTCATCCTAACCTTCAATGCTACATACAGTTTGGTCAGCTCAATTTCAACCAGATACAGCAGAAAAAATCCAGTGAGAAGCAGTGAATAAAAACATGATTAGAGACTTGCACAGCATGAAAAGGATAAAAAAAATTAGAGAAGCTAGGATTGAGGTACATAAAGAACATCAGTCTCAATGAAGGTAAAAAATCAGGAGCTCCTATTTGACTCTCTCGTCATACAGAAGTGAAATTATATGCATGCAATGAAGTTAAAAAGTGGAAAATTTTAAAATTAAAATAAGAAGGTATTTTCTGAAACTCAATAGATAATCCACCCATGAAACTTGCTGACAAAAGTCTAGTTTTCAACAGTTCACGGTCAAACTGGAAGGATGTATCTAGTGGGGTCCTGCAGGAGTCTATCCTGGGGGTAGGACTATTCAATATTTTCATTCATGAGTTGGATAATGGTGTGGAGAGTATGTTTATAAAATCTGCAGATGACACCAAGATGAGAGGGGTTGCTAGCACTTTGGAGAATGGGATTAGAATTCAAAACGACCCTGACAAATAGAGAATTGGTATGAAATCAACAAAATGAAATTCAATAAAGAGGAGTGAAAATTACTGCACTTAGAAGGAAAAAATCAAATGCACAAATACAAATTGGGGAATAATTAATTAGCAGCAGTACTGCTAAAAAGGACCTGGGATTTGCATGGTGGCATGCAAATTGAATATGAGCCAACAATGTGATGCAGCTGGAAGAAGACTAATATCATTCTGGGGTGTATTAATAGGAGAGTCGTACCTAAGACACGGGAAGTAATTGTTCCACTCTACTCAGCACTGGTAAGGCCTCAGCTGGAGTAGTGTGTCCAGTTCTGGGCACCACCCTTTAGGAAAGATGTGGACAAACTGGAGAGAACCCAGAGGAGGGCAACAAAAATGATAAAAGGTTTAGAAAACCTGACCTGTGAGGAAAGGCTAAAATAACTAAACATGTTTAGACTTGAGAAAAGAAGACTGAGAACCTGATAACAGTCTTCAAATAAGTTGATAGCTGTTATATAGAGCAGTGTTTTTCAACATTTTTGATACCAAGCACTGGCTTGCTGCCTTCCTAAACTGTGTCAGGGAAATCTCAGGGACCAGTGCCGGTCCACGGACTGGTCATTGACAAACACTGATATAGAGGACAGTGATCAATTGTTCTTGTCCTATCTTTAGTGGACCTGGAGGAGAAGTCATTCTTCCGCTCTACTCTGCTCTGGTTAGGCCTCAGCTG